CTCAACTGCTGAGTAACCTTAAATTGTGCTTGTCTCATTCAGCTATGCCAATATTGTTTTAGGTTCGTAAGCTGGAGTTTTTGTTGGCTGATGCCCTGGACAAGAAGTGTGACACAATATTTACATGTGGTGGAATCCAGTCCAATCATTGCAGAAGCACTGCAGTTGCTGCAAGACAACCTGGTTTGGATTGTTACCTGTTCTTAAGAAGTCCTGAACAGGCAGGTATTTAATTTACTTTAAACTTTTTAAGAAAGAACTGATGCAGAAGATTTTAAGCTGCTTGAGTCATGATCAAAGATCAGTTACCCCTAAGCACATGTTATTGGCAATCAGACAAAGAGTGATGCCAATGCGATCTATCACTAATGATAACTTAACAAACACACAACAACATGGAATCTCGGAACTTTTTCTTTTACCACGCTCACAACAAGACGAAAAGCATCTTTCTATATTTCTTTGCCAAGCTCAAAACCTACAATCTTTGTTTTTTTTTATTTGCAAAGATGGAATCTATTTGTGAAATAGAAGCTCCTCACATTGCATTGAATAGTGGACTCATACGAAGATGAGATGAGAAGATTCATGACTGCACTGTCACATATTATAGTTGAGCACATGTTTCTTTGAGATTTGAAGCAGACAGGAAAAACTGCACAATAGGCTGCTAACAGAAGTTCAATCTTTACTCTAATGTTGCTCATTTTAAAGGAAGAGGGGCACCAATTTTGCTTCCCATAGATGGCTAAATTTTAAGAAAGTTAGCAAACTTATTGAAACTTTCATTTGATCTTTTTTTCTTCATGCAGACCATGGATATTGGTTGTAAAGGAAACCTGTTTTTAAACAAATTGGTTGGAAGTCAAATTATTGTTGTTCCTCAGCTTCAGTACAAATCTGGCCTTAAACAAATAATGGAGAAAATGTCTGAAAAATTGTAAGTAAAAGGTCAGAGAACTGTAAAACCTAGAGAGCTAGCACCTCAAATTTGTGTTGCAGCCATTTTACAGTGGAATTGACTGTGTATTAATTTACTAGTAACAGGTTTAGATGTAGGGATAGATCTCACTAGCAGAACTTGCTTGAAAGGTTTAAAAAAACTGCATGAATTTACTGCAATGCTTGGGACATTTAATGATTGCAACCATAGAGCATAGTTAGTAGAGAGTCTCCCTCCATTAACTATGTTTTGACCCAGTTCCTTCCTGCTGACTTTGTCTGTTTTTTTTTCAGGGAGGAACAGGGCTCATCAGCTTATCTGATTGAAGTTGGAGGCTCCTCTTACATGGGGATGTTTGGTTACTTAACAGCATTTCAAGAAATGAAAGGTCAGGTAAAATTACGGCTTTTTCTGTATAATTTGTGTACTCATTTTGTGCACTTCTGGTCAAGAAGTCATGAATGCAGTTAAACACTGATCACAAAAAAGCCTGTTTGTTAAAAGATTTTTTTCTGGATATCTTTCAAAATGTTGGCTTTGTTTGTTTCAGAATATGCTGGAGAATTTTGATGACGTTGTGGTTACAGTTGGCAGTGGTGGAGGGGCATCAGGAATTGCCATTGGTAACTATTTGACAGAATCAAAACTCAAGTAAGCTCTAAATAGATATATTGATATTTTCTTTATTGACTGTGTGGGATGGCTGGACAACAGAACATTTGTCTCAAGGTCATAACATAATTATAGACGTCTCTCTGACCAATCTGTTCATTATGCCCAGAGGCCAAATGTTTTCCAATCAGGCCTGTCTTCACTTAGTCTTTAGGGATTTTATCATTTGACCAGCAGCACTCTTTTTCTTCTTTCTTTTTGCTGTTTGCATCTCAGGAGGCCTGCATATACAGAGCTCTGCTGTTATTTATGGTGCCACTGCCACTACTGCTTTTCTTCATCTGATTTTTTACAATGTTTTTCATTGAATTTACATCCAGGAATTTACTGGTCTTAGGATAAATAATAATAATAATAATAATCATAGGACTGAGTAGAATTCAATTCAGTCTGTGATCTTACGAGTGATTAATACAATCAGATGACTGTGAAGTGGGAGTCAAATATGTTAATGTTAACACAAAATCCTGTTACCAACTAATCAAAACTATGACAAAATTTGAGAAAGAAACCAGATGTATTGGTTATGCGTTTTTGTAACAGGGTGTGCACATGACACATGCTGTCCACTCATATAGGCATGACATGTCAACTGTCCTGTTACACTGTTCAGTAAGAGGCATGACACATGCAGTGTCCTATTAGTGCTTAAATTGGGCTGGTGATAACTAATCACATTGGAGTTTTTTGTTATTGTTGCCACAGAAATGCTGTATCACCTTTCAGGAACCCCTGACAAACTATATCATGCTGGGGAACATTATGAAAAAGCTTACCAACCTATAGGCTGATAAAAAATTTCTACAATTCAGATTGTGCCTCTTGAGAATTTCTCACAGGCCTTTCTATCTTTCTAAAAGTTTCCCCTTGTTTTCTTTGAACACTGGAGACTAATTGAGACCTGTAATAGTAACATTATTGTCATTTATTCATAGGTGTCATGCAGTGAATGTGTGTGATGATGCAGCATATTTTTACCTGAAAATCAATGAAGACCTTCAAATAGGTGGGCTAAATGTTCTAGCAGAAAAAATAATTGATATTATTGATGGATACAAGGGAGAGGGCTATGGCAAATCCACTGAAGAAGAGTTAGTTTGCAGATTTTGGTTTCTTCATAATAGGACTAGTAGTCAAGCAGTCCCTCCTTTTTCAGAGAAGTCTGTTGGGCAAAAAGAAAAAAAAACAATGAAAAAGGTTGACGTAAGCTCCTAGCAGCGCACTTACCTTTTTTCACTGATCTTTTTTTTTTTGAGTCACGCAACTTTCATAGACTTTGCCCAAAAGGATGGATTTCTTGTAGTCTTCTACATATGTTACATGATAACCTGCTTATTTTGGTACTGGAATGAAATGCAAGTTGAAGAGAGTTGTTTCTATCTATCAGTAAACAACCTTTTCAAAACATGAAAACATAAGAAATCATGCTTCTCATTGCCTCTTGTTCCTTTACTAATGTTAAGCATGGAAAATTTGTTTTCAGAATGCTCTTTGGCTGACAGTATTTTGATTTAATTCAGTGTGAGTTAAAAGCTGAAAGTTAAAATGATATGTGCTCTGTTAACAAGGGATCAGTGTATTTGTTTACAATGTAGAAGGAATGATCACTCAATGATGTTCCAAACCACAAAGTTTACCTGCCCCCACTCTCCTCCCTCCCCCTTATACCACAGGTTTATGCAAGACAATAATAATGGATAATTATAGCTACAATTATTAAAATTTATTGTTTATTTATTCCAGGATTCATTCGAAATTGCTTGATTACCAAATGAAAACACGATCTAAATTTTTCTTAACCATTTACATTCGAATTTGCACCTTACGAACCATGTAATCTTTTTATCGGTTAATGAAGAGGACATTGTGAAGATATCCAGAACAACTGGTATTATGGTGGACCCCGTGTAGAACGTCAAAGCCATTAGAGGAATGCTACACGAGATGAACGCCAACCCCGGGCGAATTAAGGGTCACAGAATACTTTATATTCATACTGGTGAGTACAATTTTTCAACATCATCATTTCATAAATACCTCCTTCCTTCCCTTTGGTTAAGAGCCCACATACCTTGAAAATAATGGTTTCTCAAAGGTAATCCCTTAGAACTGCGTTTTTCCCTGCGAATGATATTCTGCTCATGCGCGGTTGTGCGCTTGTCAGCCTGAAGGAAAAAGGTGCATCACCCCAAGTTGTCAACGAGTGATTTTTGGAAATGATGTGAAAACGAAACTCGTTAATCAAATGAAAAAGAGAAAAAAAAGATTACTGAACTCGGCTATCGGCTTTGGTAAATAATTGTGTAGATCATGATATTTTTCTCAACCTGGTACGTAAATTGCAAACTTGAGACCCCATTTTTGATCCCTCGTAGAATTATCAGCGCTTCGTAACTTGTACTGCAGTTGCATGTAGCATGTACTTTCTTTCGCGTGGAATCAAAATATTATACATTAGACTAACTATGAAGACTTTGATTGGTTGATAGCATACAGTCGATATACAATAGCAGATATTGGGTTCTCATGTCGCGTTTAAGTTATGCCTAGTTTCCAAGCCCCTCGTCCGTGTAGTGTTCTCAAACTCTTGCAAAATCAGAGAGAAGATTCTTCTTTTGCAAATTGTTTCTAAAAATGTATGATGAGTCAGTTATTGAATTTGGTTTTAGCATGATATTGTAAATTATCAAACCTGGCATCTGTGTTATCGGCCTCGGCCTTCGGCTTCGGCGGATAACTCAGACCCCGGCATTGATAATTTGTGATATTATGCATAACCTCATTAAGTAATTGCTCATTATTATTCATTTGCACCTAGAAGAGTAAAAATAACGTGCGATTCGAGTAAAAATTTCCTGTGATATGGTCCATTTGGTTATTTTGTACTGTAAAAAAAAATTGTTTAATCGGTTGGCTGCGCGTGCTGCACTTTTCTATCTGCGTCGCTTTTCCCACTTTTTAAAAAATGCCCATGAAATAAAGCAGCTGGGCAATAAATAACTTATTAGACATTTTGGTGTGTGGTATCGCTGGGTATATTTACTCATAGTTTGTATTTTGACTCGCCTTGCGGGATCGTCAAAATATGCCACAACTCGTAAAAATAGTAACCGATACTACACACCAAAACTTCTGATAACATATATATTTTGATGGAAGACTGAATACGACAACATCCACAGGTGATAAAAGGTCATATATTTGCTCAGAGAATGGTATTACCTATCCTTTGAAAATGGCGTGACCTGATTTGTAACCTTGTTATGCGAGTTTCACACACGTCTGATGGGGTGTGTCTCATTTTCCAACAGTTGTGTTCGATTTGTATGATGGAAGAATGGACCCGTTAGTAACTCGCCCTGCACTGGGTATAAATGATGTTGTCTGCTAGGAAAGTGCGAATGATTCCATGCCATTCTGAGGCTGACTCGCTCTCAGTTGTCTCTCTTATTTGAGATATTTAGGTGGTGCTCGAGAGGTTCGCGTGTGAAAAAGATTTTCTTTCGTTTCCCATCGTTCCCTTTGTTAATGTAGTGCTAATCTCTCGCGAAACCCTCGGCCGCGCAAGAAAGACTGGGAGCCAGTAAATTTTAGGGTGCCAAGCAAGAAAGCTCAATCAAGATATCCCTACGCTCTTTTTTGGCGTTATCCAGTAAAAGTGGCCACGAAAGGGGAGATAACAGCATTGCGTGGGCTCCTCAAACCATCAGAGGCAAAAAGTCTTTGACCAAGTTCTCGTGAGTTTACATATCGAAGACGAACACAACAAATTATTGGACTGGAAAAAAATGTTAAAGCTTTTGAAAATATATTCGTGTAAAAGTAGAAAGATTTAAAGTTTTGAATTTTTTTGTTTGATTTATACACTTATATCTTTGATTTTAGACTAATAAAAAAAGGTCACGTTATATCTGCTTTTCAGTATAACAAGTTCTATTTTTGGATCAGGTTTGACAAGCAAATTTTGGTGAGTTTTGCAGTTGCTTGGGGCAATATTTGGATTCCAAGTTTAGTTTTCAGCCCAACGGGGATTTTGACAAAATTGATGCCTCTGAATGAGGGTCTCAATGGAGTGATGGCTCTTACGGCTATCGGTTAAAATTTTGGCCAATTTCCAGCTAACGGTTAACACCTTTCCATTGTTTCCACCAGACATATTTTTTACGGTCAACTTTTTTTACGACTAACGGTTAAAATTTGTCAATTTTTACGTCTAACGGCTAAATATTTTGGCCGTTTTACGGCTAACGGTTAACCCCATTGAGACCCTCCTGAATCAAAGGGCAATCAGATGGGCATCGGGTACGTTCGAAGAAAAGTTTCCAGTTGATTGGATCCATATTGCCAAAGACCTTTTTTACAGTTCCGTGGCTCTGTGTCAATTAAATTGTGAACAATTCACCTTCATAGACTTTGTCCGCCTCGTGTTGACAGCGTTCGCAGTGTTTTACGTGAACATCGTCGGTGCAATGAGGCTAAGGACCGCTTTCATGCAGGTTGAAAGCTGACTACTTTGAATAAATGCGTTTCTCCAACCTTAAGTTTATCATTTTTCGATGATCAGCGAGGATTGTCTAGTCGTAATAATGGCCTCGCCAATTTATATCGGTCAAGATCCCAACCGATGTAGCAAAAACCATAGTTTATTCGTACCTTCGCAACAATTAGCAATTTTAGGAAAACCTTGCGCAAACCGCTTGAATCCATTATTTAGAGGTTTTTATCCCTACAATGCACCGATACTTTCGATCGATCTGTTACATAGGAAGGCTTTTGATTGCTTTCATGCTAATCCGTTTCTTCCAAACGGTCTCTCACGTGAATCATAATTTTTGTTAGGGAGGATCTCGCAGAGCTTCATCCCGAAAAGAATGCCTTATTTGCTTTTCACCTCGTTGCAGTCCGCTTTTACACCCATGGATTCTGAAACCAGAACGAGACTTCTCAACCCCCCGGAGAACAACTCGTTCGGAGTGATTTGCAAAACAAATAGTAGCTTGTTCAAGCTCGCGGAAAAACATCAGCCGTGAGTGTTCTAGAAAATTCTTTCGAAATGTTGTGTATCTTTGACCATGGAAATTGCTTATTATGGCATTCATGCATGACTTGTGAGTGCTACATGAACTTACTCACGATACGTTATTGTCAGAGAGCATTTCCACCTTCCAACTATACTTTGGTGCACAGTGACCCTGGTAGATGAAAGGTGAGAAAAATTTTTTTAATATTCGAGCCTTAAATGAAACATTTTATCGCTATTTTACTTGGTTCTGTCATTGTTAAACTTAAGCTGGAGTTCAATACACTTATGATCATACGGTACTTTGACAGCTTACTGAGTTATTATGCGATTATCAACCAGTGATATTTTGAGATTGAAACAACCCTGTACGACCATTATAGAGCACATAGAAAAGGAAAAAAGTAACATTTGATCTCTGATTTGACTGGAAGAATAACAGATGCTTGCTTTGAAAATGTGTACATGCACATACAGAAAAATATCTTCGTGGCTAACGTTAAATTCGGCCGTTCCTGTCTCGATCTGTTATCGACTGATCAGCAAACGGGAAACAGGTTGGCTCTTAGTTTAGTCATCCCTTTCAAATTGAATTCTTTTGAACGAACTTTCAAAGTTCGTTCACGAAAAGTGTGGACAAGGAATTTGAGAGGCATTCAAGTTCTGATCTTCGACACAACTAGATTAAAGGTTTCCTATTCAACTTTCTGCAAAGTTTTTTGTTTTGAGATGATTGCATTACAAAACGTTTAACTTTAGCTTCAGTTAGGGAACTTGATTATTTGAAACTTGTAGAGTGGAAACACAATTACTTTCTTCTGAAGGATTTTTATCCGTTGCGTCATTCTGATGTTTATCGGATTTCTTTGAATCATTTAGCAACAAGAAAGGTTTTGAAAACTTTTTTATTCAGTCAGCCTTGATACTTTGGTACACTCTGGCTCTGGAAAGTAAATTGTAAGAAAACTTGATTTATTAGTCGAGCCTTAAATTACACCTTGTATAGCTGTTGCACTCAGTTCTGTTATCAACCAACATAAACTGGAGTTTTATACGCTTATGATCATACTGTACATTTAATTTAAGCTTGTTTATTGTACGATAAGCAATTGCAACCACTGATTAATGAGATCGAATAAGTCTCGCACGACTATTATAGAGCACTGCGAATAGGTAAAAGCAATATTTTGTCGCTCTGATTCGATCGTCAACTGGCTTCGCTCTGAGTCTAAGTTTGTCATCACTTTCTATTTCATTGAGTAATTCATAAAAGCTCGTACAGTTCATTTGAAACAGAGCTGGAATAAACATTTAAGAGATATTTTCGTTTTGATCTTGAACAAAACTGGATTGAAGTTTTGGTATTCAACTTCCCCCCAAAGTTGTCTGTTTTGAGATTATCATAGTACTAAAAGCTTTTAAACTTTGTTTTCAGCAATTTAGTGAAATTGTCTATGTGTTACTACTATGGTCAAACATAATTCCTTTCTTAGCTATAGGACTCTAACCATTTGAGTCTTTTTTTATTCTTATTGGATGTCTTTGAATCATTTCGCAACAAGAAAAAAAGTTTTGGATAGTTTGTAAGTCTGTCAGCCTTGAATGGCTTTGTGATTATTTAAATAGTTGACCTTCGCGACATTTGATAAAGTCAGGAAGGTTTTGCTTACATGCTGATTGCATGCTTCGACAAATCTCTTTTTTACTTTGACAGCGGCGACCAAATGTTCTTAACGGCTGTCCTGTGATTTACATTGGCGACAGCACCATGCTAATGCAGGAAACCGTAATTAGTTTTAGGGAGGTTATACAAACGAAACTGAAAGTAAAACTTTGCATTTCTCAATCCTCTAAGTAATCTTTAAATATTGTAAAAGAGACTTGCTTTCAAGTAAAGGTTTTCTTCTCTAACTCTTGATTTATC